GATATTGACGCAAGTGCCCTTCTCCCCCCAGCGGTTGACTCACCCGTGACCCTGTCACAACGTCTTTTGGTGCTTGAAGAGATTACCCGGTTTATTCAAGATCAAGATTTGGCTAGCTGTCCTCTCTCGGAGAAAATTGCAAGTCTAGAGACCTCTGTTTGGTTTCAGGAAGAAAAAATCACCAGACTGACTCGCTGGATGGACCATATTGAAGAGTCTGCCCACATGCGTTGGAAGGAAACGCAAGAAGATTTGCAGTCCATCCGAAGTGATCACCAGAGACTGGAAGCCGAGGTGAGGGAAGCCGTCAAGACACTGGAGAACAAGTGGGAGACTACGCCAGCTGCGTTACAAGAGAGTCTCACCCGGGGCTTTGAGAAACTTGCAAGCTGCATCAAAACTGCTGAGCTAACGCTCCATGACCTCACCAAATCAGTCACTACTATTTCGGAGCTCAAACTGCGGCTCGGTGCTCGCCAATCAAGTCTGGAATCACTCATTATCCAGTTCCTCGGCAACAAGGAGAAGAAGCACACTGGCATCAATACCGATCGCTCAGTCTCACCCGACCGTGGTCAGAAAAGCCAGCAGGTACAAGTCTCCCCGACCCCGGGTGTCGTTCTGCCAAACCCAGTTTCAACTGATCACGCACAAGTCTCTCCAACCCCGGCCGTCTTTCTGCCTCCAGCATCTGAGAGCCCAGCGGTCCTTCTGTTGGCGCCAAACCCAATTCCTCCAACCCGGGCAAGTTCGCCTGGTCCTTACATTGGGGGTAATAGGAAGTCACCTCGGCTACAGAAACTCGAACCCACACTTCAAACCCCCGCACAGAGTAGGTCTTCTACTTGGTGAGGATTCAAAAATCTGACTGCCAGCAAGTTACAAACAATGATGTCCAAACTGTCCAAACTCCGTCTACTTAATAGTTAGTAGCATACATGTATATTTTTTGGACAATCTTCAATTTCTTTTTGGGCATATTTAATATGAAGTCCTGTGGTGGACATAATAATGAAAGCAGTAAG